GGAGAGGCAGGGGTGAGGGACGGAGGGCAGGGCCGGAGGCAGAGGTGAGGGATGGCAGATGTTTTCCCTTCCCTTTCACGCCTTTTACTTTGTGTGTAGATAAATTCAAGTAAATCAAAGACACACGATACTACTTCAATCATAATTGAACTGCTGAACCAGTGTGTGCTGGGCACCTGGTTAAGTGCTTTGCACCAATGAATTCATTCATTTCTTCCAATAACCACGTGAAATATAGATAGCCCCAGGACTCCATTTATAAATGAGAAAAATCAAGAGCTAGAAGATTAGGACTAAAGCTCTAGCAAACTGACTCGGGGACCCATGTCTTCAACCAATAAAACGTGCTGCCTCCTGATAAATTAATGTTGAAATCACATAAATGTAAAAGACAAGTGTGTGTATGGAATATGGATTAGTGTTTCCCAATCAGTCCTTACTACTTTTCCTTTTTCCATCCATGTAACATAACTATACACTTACTATACACCAGAAGCTGTTCTAGGCACAGGTGACATAAAACTAAATACAATCCAATTCCTGCACTCGAGAAGCTCACAATCTACATGGGTGAGCATGCGTGTGTGTGCATGCGTGCACACATATGGTTATGCATGTGTGTGTGTGCAGTAAAGCAGCAAGGGTAAAAACAAGAAAAAGTATAGAAGCAAAACAAAAAAAGCATGCAATGTGAAAAGTGCAGACAGAAGGGAGAGTGCGTCTGATGGGGGCTGTAGGCTTGAGGGCCCCCTTGGTGGGGGCTGGTGGAGAGTCCTCTGAATGAGCACTTCTGGAGCTGAACCCTCAGGAGCTGGCTTCAGGGGCTGGGAGAGCCTGCAGCTGGGTGAGCCTCTGCATTGCCTGCCTGCAGGACCTTAGGGAAGTTGCTTTCATCTTTTCTTGTTTCATTCTCTTCTCTGTAAAACAAAGAGAATCCTAACATTGTCCACGTGAAGAAGTGTTCTCAGGATTAAACCACATAATGTACGCAAAGTATCTAAATTGTGGGTGCCACTTGATGGGGGCTTCATTGTTGGCTGGGGGCTATGGCAGAAGAGGGGAAAGGGCACTTATGGCTGAGAGGCTGGGGACACCGGCTCGATGGCAAGGGCAGACTGATTTGGACAGCCACTGGAGCGCTGTGTGTGGCTGTCGGGGGGTAGATGGGAGAGGCTGGGTCTGGCAGGGCCTTGTGTACCAGGCTTCTAAGTTTGAGGTTTATCTTGTTGATAAGGAGGAGCTTCTCAAGGATTTCCAGCAGAGATAGGACTGGATTAATAACTGCAATAAAAGCAAACACTTAATATTTACTATGTGCTAAGCTCAGTTCCAAGTTCTTTGTGTTAACTCACTTAATCCCCAGATCAGGCCTAGGAGGTACACATTATTATAATCCTCATGCTGGAGATGAGGAGCCTAAGGCATAGGGCTGTGAATAACAACAAATGTGTCATGGTCACGTGGCCCACAACTGGAGGAGGAACCTCTCAGCCCAGGCAGCCCGGAGTGTAGTTTAGAGTCCAAGCATGACACATTCTGCTACACAGTCTCTCAAATATTTAAGAAAAATCACATTTATGTAACAATGTTACCATAATGGTCAAAACCGGCTTTCTTAAATTCACACATACAAAGTTCTATCACCTACAAATCTGCAAGAGACCTCTGCAGACTTCTCCATATTTACTGTGCGCCTGCTCTCTGTGAGAGACACTGCGTGCATTTTCATTTGGCTGTCCGGGAGGCATGTGTTATTCCTTACAGGCGACGCACGGGCCACTGTCCGTGCAGATGTGGGCAGGCACACTTTTGTCAAGGGCCAGATAGGAAATAGTTTAGGCGTCTGGGACAAACAGTCTCTATCATGATTACTCAATCCTGCCACAGTAGCCCCCAAAGCAGCCACACACACAGATGGGAGTAGTGATGTTCCAATAAAACTTTATTTACAAAAACAGGTAGTGGGCCAGAGCGGGCCACAATCTGTGGACTCCTGACACAGACTGGTCTTGGGACAAGCTAATAAACTGCTACACTAGCAACGGCAAGTAAGACCTGGTCAAGTCAGCAGCTTCCTTAACCCCGAACACCATCTGGAAGGCTGAGAAAGGCTTCAGGGGATGCCGGAGTGCGCAATGGCCGATCTGAGGAACTGGGAAAGAAAGTGGAAGACAAAGGGGAACAGGAAACAGGAACAGGAGAGGCACAGCGAAGACACCTTGGGTGCGCTGGGCCACATGCCATTAGCCTTTTATTGGTGGCTCCTTCAAGTCAAACTGCTTCGGCATGAAGAGGCACTGCTTTTGCACAGCTGCAGTTTGCCGATACCATCAAAACTCTGTTTTCAAGTTAAAATAAAAAATAAAAAAACACCACTGTTCATCAGTTTCAAAGTTCTTTACAAAAATTTCTTAAGTTGCTTCTGAATCTCCCATCCCACGGGACACACATACACTCCGTTTTCCCGTCACGCAGTCTTGGCGGAAAAGGCACCTTCTGTGCACCCTGGTAGGCGGGCACAGAGCAGGGGCCAGCTGCTGGGCCCTTCCTCTTCCCACGCTTACCCAGAGACAGCCCCAGTCCTCACGACTCTTCGCTGTGAGAAGGAATTCAGACTCCTCCTCCTCCTCCTCCTCCTCCCTGAGCTCACATCCCCTTCGCTTCCAGATGATCTGATAAGATCAGTGAGATACAGTGCTCCTTCTTGGCTCTTGCTTTTATTAAAAATAAATATACTCATTCATAGTTTGAATGCACAAGTAATTAACTCATGTATTTATGCCATTACTTGGGGGCTAGTTTCCACCCTCCCCCAACACTGGATAAGCGACTCAGTTGGTAAGAAACCTTTTTCAGTGAAAACTTATGTGCCTTTGCTTTAGAAGGAAATGAAGTAACGCTTTAATCTTGTTTTAGAAAACAAGCGTTTAGACTATACCCATCATGTAGTTTTATTAGAGAAAGAAGGTTTCTGAGTTTGTTGAACTCTGCTTATAGCTGGAATGGGGAAATGTTGGCACTCCAACTTCCTGGGTTTAACTGGCAGTCAAGGGCTGTATTTTAATGAACACAAAGGAAAGAAACTACTGAGATGTTTAGTTACTCTGTACCCTACCTTCACCTCTCACTCATGTTATGTACTAAAGAGAGGAGAGCTGTGTTTCAGTAGCTTTGCTCAATTCGGCAGCTGGTCTTCATCTTCTGGCAGGAAGCGTCTGCAAGCCGGTGGAGTGCGCGTTTGAGCACAGCCATGCACACCAAGACATGCGTGTGTGCACTTGTGCTTAGAAAGGCGCTTAGGCCTGGGGTGCCAATCTCTTTCTCTCCAATCAGTTGGGTTGATTCCATGAATTGGCACTCAAAAGCGCGTGTCAAGGAAATACGTTCTCATTACAGAGGCCTCTATCGGATAGAAGAAATACAAAGTCCCCTTTTCTTTTCTTTAAACTTTCCTCATTAGACTCACGTGCCTGGATAAAAATAGTTTCTAAAGGCTTAAAATGGTTTAAGAGGCAGCAACGGATAAAGCACAGGCTTCAGAATCTGGGTGTGAATACTGGTTCTGACACTCCCTAGCAGCGTGACAAGTTGTTTAGCCTCTGAACTGTGGTTCTGTCATCTGTAAAGTGATGACGATAATGAATAAGAGGCTGAAAGTAACAAGTGCAGC